TGTAATCTAAAAAACTACATTATTTATTTCTTTTTATGAAAAAAAAAATTAGCTGTAACTTTCCATTGGAAGTAGAGACAGTGACAGTTTGAGTTTTACTTGTGTTGAAGTTTTTATTGAAAACACCATTGTTATGAACTGCAGGTATTAACATTTGGTAATAACCTGTAGTAAAATTAATCTTAAATTAAAAATTCTAATCATTAAAAAATTCATGAAGTTAAAAACTTAGAAAACTTTCAATGAGAAGAGAATCAGAACAACTGTAAGCCTAATAAATGCAAGTTTAATGTAGAGTACTACTATTATTTTTAGTCACTGATTAATCAAATCTACCAAGAATGCGAAAAACCGCAAAGACAAAGGGCACAAACACATTGTTTATCACACGGAAAATGACAAGTTTCCTCCATAGTAGAAAAGACAGCCATGGAAGAAACAAGTTTCTTTTAAGATGAAAAATGGAAGAAATTCTTCTTAAAAAAGAAATATCCAATATTAAAACAATTTTTTTAATCAGTTCATAATTGCAATATAGTTTAAATAAATAAACTAAATTCGAAGTTACTTCATAAATAATTTTTAAACATGTGAAAATTTTAAGGCAAATATTTCAATAAATAAAATTATATGAATTTTTTAAGAAATTAAAATAACTGTAGTTTTTCACTATATATTACTTAATTGAGTATAGTAAATCCTTATTTCATAATTTATAATACTGTAATTTCCTGCATATAATCCCCGAATTATCTGTTAAAAAAAGATGTGGAAATTGCCACTACGGATAATGTGGTGTAACTATTTTCTTGCCTTTGGGTATGACTTTCAACTTCAAGGGCTGAAAAAAACCTGTTTCTTTTTTTCTTTTTTAAAAAAGCCCAACCCAAGTGAGTTTTATGGGATAGCATACTACATGTATTATTAGTATACAATTTTATTACATAGTATATAATTTTATTATTAAATCTATAACAGTATACAGTGTTAATATTGGCAGATTAGTTAAACATAAATTTTATTTTTAAAAGCTTAACAAACAAATTAAATTATTATACTGCTTCATTTCATTTTTCATCAGATGATATATAGCCAAAAATGTTTCTCAATTTCAATTAATTTATTTATTTTTGGTGATAACTAAAAGGTGAAAACTTTTGGTGATAACTCAATTAGTTTGGTGATAACTCAAAGACAGTCCTATAAAAAAAAAAATGCCTTCTTGACAGTCCAGTAGCTCTTCTACTTTCATTTATTACAATTTAGGTTAGACCATTATCAGCATGCAAAAAATTAGATAGTCTTTAATTTTTACTAATCAGTCACACAAAACTTTTAATTCAAAAAGTAACACAGAACCAGAACTTAAACCAAACAGACAATGAGAATCTAAGTCCATACGAAAAAATTATTGAAAAGAGCTGTAATCAAGGCCTTACTCCTTTCCATTTTTTACCTAATATGCTGAATACAAAATTACAACGGAAAAAGACTTCCTAAATACATGACAAAAGAGGCAGAGGATTCTGTTTCCAAGAAAAATGCTCAATGGCTAATTCAGTGTTTCAGAATAAAAGATCAAGTGTATATCCACACTCATTATTTATTGAAAGTGTGGTGGATAATATAAAAGAATTTTACCATTTTATAGTTTAATTAGCTGGCTTAGCAGCTATTGAATGCAGGTTTTCTACATATGGACTTGTTTGGTCCAAACTGCTAAACAAAAAGCTTGGTGAAGTTTATAGACATTTAATGAGTGAAGCAAAACAAGAGACTTCTACAGAATTTTTAACCAAATTTGACATTCATTTTATTTTTACTTTTTCCATACATCATTCATTAATGTAAATTACAGAATTTTCTTATAAGATTAATATTATGTGATATCACTGAGATTAATATATTTTGGTAAAATACAAATTGTTCCATTTTTGCTATATTAAATTTTTTTAGCTTTTATTAAATATTTAAAATTTTAAAAATATATACTTTTTAGCTTGTAATCAAGATTATTCACTTAAAAACTATAAAATAATTTGAGAAAATGGGTAAAATTATAATAATTGTGGTTAAAACAGGAAGAAAAAAAAAAGATTGGCAAACCAACTCCTTTTTAAAAAAAAAACCCACTTAAATATGGGTTTTATTGGGCAGGTGCATAGGTAAACAGCCCTGACTTTCATAAACCATAAAAGTGAACAGAACAATTTACACTGGATCCGAAAAATTAGCATATGCAAATTCGAAGTTCCAAATGAGAACCTTATTGGTGGAATAAATTTACCCACAAAATCAAGTTCACATTCGCATATGGAATTTTTATGCATAAAGTTTGAATATTTCTTAAACATGATTGTGTATCTGCATGCCCGTTTCCCTACTGATGCCCATTGCCTTACATATAACGTAGATTCTGTCCGTGGGATAAGCTTTGTAAGTCAGCATTATTTCTTCAGAGCAAAACATACTGCCATATAATGTGCTGATTATACGGCGATCAGAATTATGTGCTAAAATTTTTCTTGTGAACTCTTCACTTGCCTGCGGATTATACACCACAGTAAATAATATGCAGGAAATTATGGTACCACTAAATTAAAGAATCACATACTAAACATCCAAAAGGATGGATATCTTTTTTATACTAAACATATACACTGCTACAAATCGCATATTGAATTCAAAAGTTCAAGCAACAAACTCATTTTTAAATTCAAATTCAGTTAAGTAAAGATATTCCAGACAACTTTTAAATAATATGATTTATAGATTTTAAAATTCAGAATAAAACTAAAGTACAGTATGAAAATAGTTATTTATGAAGAAGAGTTGATGTAAAAATTTTTTAATTTTCTGGTATTTAATTAAATTTAATTCTTGTATTTTTTTTAAATTAAAGCTATTTAATTTTTTCAAGTGCCCTAGAAGAATTAGTCTTCTTGTCAACCTTGCTGAAAATAAAGTGCAGCAAGGCCCCATAAGCCTGCTTGCTTTTACATCCCTGACTGAAATAGAAGTTTAAAACAAGTTATATTTCTTAATGATTTTGCTTTCTCAATTACATTCATTTTCTTTTTAATGTTGCAAATAACAGAATATATTTTTAAAAATATAAGCACCATTGAAATTAGTGAATTTTACATTAAAAACTGAATCAGATAGAAAAGTGAAAAAAAAATTAAAAAATTTGTACAGATTATAACTTTGTATTCAAGAAGATACACAAAAAAAAATAAATAAATAAAGCTCCATCAATTTTTACATCCATACTCGAGGTTATTATTTTTAACAGGTTGTTCATAAACTGTTTGGACAAAATGAGGGAAATTTATATCCTGTAAGAGAGAAATTAGTCATATTCCACTTCACAGTATCAAAATTCATGTGGATTTCAAGTAACTTTGCAGGTAGCAAAATTTAAGTGTAGATTCATTTTATAAAATTTTCTTTAGGAATATTTTGAATTCAAAATTCCAGATCACTGAAACTCTTTAAAGAAATTTTTTCCAATTTATTTTGTCACATAAATTTTTTTTTAATTACATTTTCTATTTTTTTTAAGAAAATTTTGTTAACAAAAGGTTCTAGTATCTTACATAAGCATTGCCACCTTGTCAGCAAAAATAAGCAAATAAAAAAAAAAACCTTTCTCTGTCATGTACTTAAGTAAGATTTGAACAGCCCCCAGTATTCTGATCTGGATGTGTGCTTACATTTCAGAACCTTGTGTACAATAAAAAGTATTATTTGTGCTTGTCAGTTGAGAATCACAGAAATATCATGAGTACTACTGAAAGTGGAATTCAATTAATATTAAATATTCATCAATTTTAAATATATTATCCCCTTTTTGTTTTGTAAAAACAGTTTATGAACCCTTTACACTCCATAAATTTTTAATGCATTTTTTTAATAAAGACAATCACTCATAACATCTCACTTGTTTCTTCATCTTCTGAAAGAGAAAAATTACTATTAATGTTAAAGCTCCTACCAATCCTTAAATCTGCAAAATTTTGATTGGGCAAGGCATTGTGGCCATCTACAGAATTCATATTTTCATGGGAATAATTAGTATCAGAGGATAATTTTCTCTCCGATTTTTGACTATGAGAACGAATGGAACGGTTTTTCGGTTTTGTGATCCCATATTTGGTTCCTTTATATGGCAGCTTTTTCATGGCACTTAATAACTTTTCCACGGCCGGAGTATAAGATGCAACATCTTCAGCAATAACGCATCGGTGATTGAGTGATTCAATCTGCTGATCTTTTTCTCTCAATAAATGTTCAAGTTTTTTCACTCTGTCCCTAAGCTGATCAATTATAGATGATAAGTCGCGAATTTCCGTATCTTTTAGATCTGTAATGTCTCTTATGGTAGATTGCAACAGTTCGTCTTTTTTCTTCAACGCCTCACTCTGTTCTTGTGCAGTTGTTTCTAATTCCATAACTTTTTCATGAAGTAATTGCAAATGATCGTTTGCCTCTTTGATACTCGTGCGATTAGGACTAGGATTCACAGTACGGTTTGAAAACATTGTAAATTAATTTCAAACTTTCAATACGCTAAATCTTCACCACACCTATTTAAATGAGTTATATAATAGTTGAGCAATTTTTGCAAATTTTATAATCATAATCACAAAATCCCATCATAATATTTTCCTGTTTCTTTACTTTAATCCCCACTTTAATAATTTAACAAATGGCAAATTAAATAATTGAAGCAATATTCAACACAAAGTTAAGAATTTGTGCTAGTTTTGTTTTTAATTCGGCGTACACCGAAACTTCTTAGTATTTAGTAGTTGAGTTGAAACTTTCCTACTTTGCAATTTCAATTTATTTTTTAAGAAAGTTCTCATATTTTTCTTTTATTTTTATGATAAAAATTAGAACGAAAAATATTACCTCATTGTAAGTTAAGCTTTTACCGTGTTAGTTTTTAAAAAATAAAGAGTGAAATATTTTTAAAAAAATTAATGAAACAGACTATGAAGTGAAATGACTAAAAAATATGATCTGATTTTGATCTCGCTCGGTGATCGATTAAAGCAAAATGAAAACATAACTAATTCTGACATCTTCCTATTGCATTTGCAATTTCTAGATTCAATTCTCATTCCGAATTTTGTTTTTCTCTAAATAAATGGTTTGCTTTCGAAGAAAATTAGTGTGATACATTGTTATGAATGTTTAATTGCTCTTTGATTTACGGTGGCATCACGTTTACTTCTGTCCACTCTCAGCTGAGATTTTAGCAGCTATGGCGGGAGTGGTTGGAAAAAAATCAACTTTATTTCTTGTAGATATTTTTTTATATCCTTTATATTTGTTTGTTATGCCTTAGACTGTGATACTAAAATTAGAAATTAAAATTTTTAATGCCGGATGGAAAGAGAGGAGGCAGCTGAAGGCACATCATTTTTTCAACTGGGTGATGATACTCGGCCACTAGATAGTTGGTTAACCGAACCTGAAGATGATGGTCCTCTCGTTTTTCACCGCGTCAATTCTAAAGAAATTATTTATCAAGCACGTAAAAAGAAAGCAAAAATTATTGGGAAGTATGTCATGGGCGATATCTTGGGAGAGGGTTCATATGGTAAAGTAAAAGAAATGCTGGATGCAGAAACTCTCTGTAGGAGAGCTGTTAAAATTTTAAAAAAGAAAAAATTACGTAAGATTCCAAATGGAGAACAAAATGTACAAATGTAAGATATATTTATTTAAAATTGTAATATATTTTTCCATAATGTACAATTTTTTAAATGTTATTGATAATGTAAATTATCTGCCAAAATTTTGAATTTCAGAACTTGTTAACATTTTTTTTTAAATGATAACTCTATTATAATTTACTTTATTAATGGTTGATAGGAGTGTTAAGTGTTTAATATAAAAACCTCTTTTTGTCAATTATTGACTTAAGTTTTGAAAATATTCAATTAAATGTTTTTCTTTGACTTAAATGTTCCAGATTACGTTGTAAATTAAGGTCTTTTTATTCTATATGCTGTGTATAAAATTTTATGCTTTGATCATATTATAGGGGGGGAAACATTTGCGATATATCATTACATTTAAACGAGGAAATTTACTGTAATTTGATGCATATTTTCTTTTACCTATATTATCTGATTTACTTGCAGTGATCCAACTCTATTCTTTAAGTTTTAAATAGAGCATAGCTTTAAATGTTTTTATTTATATGATAACCCAAGAATCAGCGAATTTTCGTATAGATTTCGATTTGTCATTTTTTCATTCACTATTGATATATATTTGTCTTACATTTGTCTGTACTGTTAAGCTGAGTTAAGTTTTGATCTTATGAGGTTTAAAATACCAATTGTTATTAATACACGTCTTTGCTACTAATGTATATTAAATACTTTTTTAATATATTATTCTTTTTAACGGGTAATATGCTTTTTAATATATTTTATTGTACTACATTTATAATGTTAAAATAAGTCAAATATTTGACAATATATTCTTTTTTCTAGGGAGATTTTGCTTTTAAAAAGACTCAATCATAGAAATGTTATTAAGTTAGTGGATGTTTTATACAATGATGAAAAGCAAAAAATGTATATGATTATGGAGTATTGTGTATCAGTTTTACAACAAATGTTAGAAAAACTGCCTGATAAAAAGTTTCCTATTTGGGAAGCTCATGGGTAAGAAATCATAAGTGTTTCTGTGAAATTGCACTTTTATCTAATATTTAATATATGATTCGCTATAATATTGTAAACTTGATTTGTTTCAAATTTTATAATATGCATTTTATTTATTTTTTCAATCATTTTGCTCTTAAAATTCGGCTAATTTTTTGTGAATAATGTTTACTATTTTGAATTTAGAAGAAAATATTTCAAAATAGAAGTTCTATTGTTTGCTTATCTTTTGTCTTAAATATACACAGTTTTTGAAGAAGATAATAGATAGAGGATGAAGAAAAAAAATTTACAACTAAGATTATTTTTATCAAGTAAAAAAAAAAAAAAAATTTGAGAGAACTAGTGAAAAAATACTAAACTGCTTGTTAAAATCTAAACATTTTATAATGTAAAATTTTGTTAAATTGAATTTATTTTAAGATTCTTCAAAATGTATTGTATATTAATAAGTAAGTTGTACTAAATAAATTATTTAAACATGTTTGTTTTAGATATTTCTGCCAATTATTAGATGGTTTAGAATATTTACATAGTCAGGGTATAATTCATAAAGATATTAAACCTGGGAACCTATTGTTGACAACCTGTCGAACGCTAAAGATATCAGATCTTGGAGTAGCTGAGGTATATATACTTTAAAGGTTTAATTTATTTTAAAAACTGTAAGCTGTAATTCTTCCTATTTCACAATTTTATGCAATAATATCAATTTGACAATCTATTTTCTACATAATTAACAATTTTCATCACTTAATATTTTTTATTTTAAGCCATCAATTAAAATGAAAACAATTTTCTGAACTGACTCCTCTACTGTTGAACTTAACTTTAAATGAAAAAAATTATAATAAAAGATTGAATATAACTCTGCTTTAAAAATGCTATTATACTAAATATATTATGTAAAGAAATATAATAAATTATCTTAGTAAAAGAGTCTTTTTAGTAGACTCGTGACTACTGTTACCCATGTAATTATTATATTATACAAAACTGCTATAAGTGAAAAATTATAGTTATGTGAATGTGTAATTCTTTTAAATTAGTAATTTTCTCTTTGAAAATATAATATTTTGTAACTTCAGATTTCGATTGACACTAAGAGTATGACATCTACTGGCATAATTGGTTTTATTTTTTGTCTTTATTTCCAGGCACTTGATCGTTTCGCTAAAGATGATATTTGTTATACCAGTCAAGGATCTCCAGCCTTTCAACCACCAGAAATTGCTATTGGCTTAGAAAGTTTCTCTGGTTTCAAAGTAGATGTTTGGTCTTCAGGTGTTACCTTGTAAGTCACTTACAACTATGGCTCTTAACCAACAAAAAAGTCTACCAAAATTTCATGGAGAAGTTAGGTTTAAGTTTTAGTATGTCTGGCATATTTTATGGGATGGTTTATCTGTGGATTTTTTTCTTTCGCCACTTGAGGTTGAAAATTCAATTTTGTTGTATTGATTCTCCAAAATTCTTTTATCTCCCTTACCCTTTTTTTTTCTTTTGTGTCAACCTAATTTTATATTCTTGGATGAATAATGTTCTAAAGAATTATCAATGCAGATGAAAAACAGGTGCAAGGGTGCTTTCCCCCTCTCCCAAAGAAACCGTTGACAAATGCAGCTCCTGGAATAGCCCCAGGAATAACAGTTTTCTACAAGAATCAACAGAAACATTATTCCCACTATCCTTTTCTCTTTCTTCTGTTGTAGGTGTGGGGGGAAAATGGAAGAGAAATATGCAAATCATTTTCTGAGGAGCATGAGTGGGGTAAAATGCTTAAATGATCTATTTTGAAAGTCAAATAATTGTTTGCATGAAATACAAGTAGAAGTCAAACCCTCAGCTGAAGATCAACATTGTTATTTTTGGGAAGTGTAACATTTTGAAAATTAAAGTTGTTTAAGTAAAATGATACAACATGATTAGCACATGGATAAAGTTAGAATGCATGGACTGCTGGTTTTAAATTTTGGAAGATTTGCTTTTTCTCTTTTTTTAAAAAAAAATTTCTTTAAAGTTTATTTGATAAATTTTTAGCTGTTTTATGATTTATTAATAATTGATTATAAAGGATGTAAGGCATTCAGGATTATTTTATGCTTCAATTTTGACCAAAGCGAGATTATTGGCTTATTTTTATTGCTGTTTTTTTAAAAAATTATTTTAAAGGTTCTTATTTATTTATCATTTGATTTGTTTAAATTTTAGAAATTTAAAATTAGTAAAAAGAAACAGATGCATTCAGGATTGTTCTGAGTGGTACAATTTTGCACAAAACAAGATATATTTTATTTAATTATTGTTAATATTATTTTAAAGTTTATTGTAAGTTTTGTTTATTTATTATTCATCTTTATATATTTTATTTATTATTCATCTGTTTATTTATTTGAATTAATAATTACGTATTTAAAATTAAATTGCAATTTTGAAGAGTGGTGCAATCTTTATTGTTCTCCATTGCACAATTTTGTGCAAGTGAGGTTCTTTGCTTTAATTTCCTTCATTTTAATTATTTTTACATGTTTATTTATTTGAGTTACATAAAATTTGGATATTTTAATTAGTATTTATCGACATAATGGGTTTGTATTACGAATAATTGCACACATAACAATCATGCATAATTTTGAAAAGTTTTCATGAAATGCATTATTTCTGATTTAAAGTAAGATGGCATATATTCATTTGTTTCTATATTTAATAAGTATTTTAATAATTTTTAATTGTTTAAGCATTTATTTTAATCATAATTTGTTATTTTTAACTTTGTTAACTGCACAATGGCTCATGCAGTAAAATTTTGTGCTGCATATCCAATGGAAAACTTTTTTTAGTCATATTCCAGATGTGGCCTATTGGCGTGAAATTACGGTTGGTGATTTAGTCCAAATTATGAAACAATTTAAATATGAATCATTGAAAAGAAATAACAAGGCAAACGTAAAGTTAAAGGAAATTATTCTTACTAAGTCAATCCAAGTGTTTTAATATTGTTCAATAATAACTATAAGTTGTTTTGCATGAAATAGAACAACCAACTCAGTTTTGATTTTTTTTTTTTTTAAATTTTTTTTATAATGGAATGAAAAAATTGCCATATCGCAAAAGATCAAAACCCTAGAATGGGTGTTTCAAAAAGGGCCTAACAGTAGTATGATGCTTGTTAATAAAAAAAAAATTTTCAAGGGGCTGTAGTAGAGATGTAGCTTTGCATAGAATTTTATAATCTTAAGGATGCAAAGGTAAACTTGAGTTATACTATTACTTGTTTCTTATTTTATAAATCTTACTTCCTTCTTAAGCCATTATTGTCTATTCTTCCATTTGCTTGATTTAAATGTTTATTTTGTTTCTGGCACTTTTGTCATATGGGAAACCTTTTATTAATATTAATCGAGACAATATATCTGAATAAATGTATACTATATGTGTAAGAACATACATTTTGATTAATAAAACACATATTCCTGTCCCCAAAAGTACTGATGTATTTGTTGCATGCCCTTGTAGTTCAGCCTCCTCATTGAATAAATTTTGTGAACTTAAAATTATTATTTGGCCACATTGAATGCATAATTTAATACAGTAGGGAATCGATTATCCGGATCGATCGGGACCATCGATATTCCGGATAACTGATTTTTCCGGTTTTCTGAATCGCTACAAAAAGTCGTTTTTTTATTGTTAAACCCAACTAAAAAAATTTTTTTGGAAATAATCTTAAAAAGAAGGAAAAACGATGAAGTAATACACTAATGATTATTTCCAAAATGATGGTAAGGTAAAAATCTGTCAAAAAAGAAAGAAAAATCCTAAAATCTTACGAGGAAAAAAAATTTTTTTTTAAAAAAATGGCGGGAAAATGCATCGAATTTCGTTCCGGTTTTTTGGTTTTCCGGTTTTCTGATTTCCGGATAACGGGTTCTGTACTGTACATTAAATTTGTCTTTGGCACAGCGCACTATAGCAACTTATGGGCCTTGAGCCATTAAATTCTATTACCAACCAACCAATGTTTTTAAAAATTAACATTAATGTTTAAATCTATTTTTATATATATACATTGTCCTACATATAAATATGCATTGTCCTGTTTGTATGTTTTTCTGAAGTTCTGTGTTTTAATTTGTTTTGAATATATACATTGTCCTACATATAAATATGCATTGTCCTGTTTGTATGTTTTTCTGAAGTTCTGTGTTTTAATTTGTTTTGAATTTTAGGTACAATTTTACTACAGGAAAATATCCTTTTGAGGGAGACAACATTTACAAATTGTTCGAAAATATTGGTAGGGGGGAATTTGCGGTTCCTGAAGATTTAGATCCTCTTTTAAAAGATCTGCTCCTGGGTAATAATAAATCTCATTTTTTTTAAAAATATTCTTTCAAAGTGTTTCAATAATGTTTATATATTTATTTTTTCATTTTTACACTTGTGCTTCATTTATAATTTTTTATACTGAAACAATTTTTATTTAATTAAATACTTACCTGATTTAATTTATACTTTTTAAAAATAGCATGTAGTTTTATTATTTTACTTTTGTATTTGATATATATGATTTAATTGAGAACTAATTGCTAGGACTTCAAATAGTGGTTGACTTGTTTAATTATTTGTGAGTTGCATAGATCTTGTAAAAAAATATGTAGTGGAGTTTTTGTGATGAAAATATCTTAAACTTAAAAAATAGTACTCTTAAAGTCTTGTGTTTGCAAATATATTGTACAGTTTTTGATTTCAAGCATCAAATTATTTTCTAAGCATGATTTTTTTACTATTGTGAATTGTTAATAACATGAACAAAGTTTTTAAGTAAAATTAACTCTAAAGTAATAATTTGGGATAATTATGTCAAAAATGTGTTTCCTTGCCTGTCTTGTAAAAATATGTAATTTATTTTGTCTTTACCTTGAAAAGCTCCTTTTAACTCCTTACCTGTTTTAATTTTTCTTTTACTTATTTTAATGCTATTTTTTTGGTGTAATGTTTTGTCAAAAACAGGTAATGAAATCATGTTAGGGTCTTATGCATTGATTCCACTTTTAAAGCATTTATTTATTAATTTTTTTTTTTAATGTTCTGAAATGATTTTTAGGTATGCTTAGGAAAGATCCGGTAGAAAGATTCACTTTACAACTAATAAGAGAGCATGAGTAAGTACATTTTTAAAAGAATTTTATGAAAATACTTTATTTATCTACATTTTATATTTGTATCGAATATTTTCCTCAATTTTTTGCTTTCATGCAAAGCTGGAAAAGTTAACTGAGATGATAAGAGTTTAAAAATATTTTGCTTTAATTAAAGCTTTAGATTATGCATGTTGGTATTTACATCTATAATTCCTAATTTAACTGTTACATATTTTTAGTTTAAATGATAATGAATTGTTTTTTATTTGAACAGTGCTAAATTTCATGCGTTCAAATAATTTTTTGTTGAAAATGCTTCCTTGAAAGCCTTTTAATGTTAGCATTATTTGCTAACGATAAAAATATTCTCAACTATGTTTTATTGGTTGACATCATTTTTAAGGCTAAAAAAAAAAAAAAATCAGTTGCTTAATAATTATTGCAGTGACCAGACATTCTTTTTAATGCAACTTTAAATGGGCATTTTCTGTGTTTCTCATGCGTTGTGGAATCTTTTACTAATAGTTTATTCTTTCTTTATTTGGAATTTTTTCTAATTTGTTTAAAAGAATGTGGGAATAGCCAGGCTGTTGTACAATTTATACTAAAGCTGCAATACTATAAATTGGTTTGTATTTTTAAGTTTATTTCAATCATCGTACTCAGAAGGAAATAAGATTTTGTGGGAAGTATTATTGTTCTCAACCTTTTGAGTAAAAATAATGTGTTTTCAGTGTTGTTCCAGTAGGCTTTCTGCCTATTTTAGGTATTGTTGAACCTTACTAATATTAACTAGTTGGTGCATGTGTCTGTTCTGATTATGAAACATTGATTTAATCATAATTTTTATTAAAATAATTTTTTTTCCCCTCTCAGCAAAAGATCATTGCTGCATCTACACATGCAATATGTCCCCCCCCCTTTTAAATGTAAATGTGATCCTTGAATAATTGAATTAAGCTTTTTCAGTGTGTAGAACATAATTATTAAATTTACTGGTAAATTATTATTTTCTTTTTTTACATTTTAAGTCTTTTGAAGTAGACTTTTAACTTTAATAAGTATTTGAAAATTTAATTGCTTTAAGTTAAATAAAATTTGTGACTAAGCAAGCATTCTACTGTATATTTAAGGCTACTAAAGCAATTATTTTAAAGGAATGAGTGAAGTATCAAATATTTGAACAATTTTTTAAAAAGATTATATTTTCAATCTAGTTTAAGTAATCATATTCTTAGCTTTTCTAGCTTTAATTCTTAGCTTAGCGTAATTCTTAGCTTTTTATCTCATTTTTTAGTAAATGAAAACTAAAAATCAATGATTGGAAATATTCATTTTCTTGAGAAATTAAGGTAACTGTTATTCAATATTTTACATGTGTAAAAGATTTTTAAAAAATGCTGATGCCTAATTTTATAAAAAAAATTAATAAATTGTATAATTATCAAATTTTATAATTGCAAATTGTATCAAATTTTATTAATATTATTTATTAATACTATTGTTTAATAGTTATTATTTTTTAAATGATGTAGATGTTAAACACTTCTAACAGGCTGATACTATATTAAAAGTTTTATTTAAATTTAAGCTTTTCTTATATTAATTATTGATGAACAATTGGTCATTCTTAGTTTCTTAGAAATAGATTTTGTGTTATGGAAAATATGTGTTTTTTCCAGACAAAATGCCAACCATGTTATAAACCATATATATATTTATGGGAAAATAATTGGCATGAACAAATGCATGTTTAAGAAAACTATTCAATCAGTTTTTTACAACTATCTCTTAGCTTAACAAAATTGTACTTCATTCTCATACTGTCTTACTCTTATACTATCAACTAATTTTTCTCTTTTTTATGTAATAGAAAATGTATTATTTAATTTTCTATACAGTTGGGTGAAGAAGAAATATTCAGTATCTGGTTCTTATTCACATATTTTACATATTTGTGATGAAGATGATTACTGTAGTATGACTGTCTTGCCCTATCTCCAAGATTTACATTACTCTCAAACAGATGATGAAGACAGTGGCTCACAAGAATTCATTACTGAGCATGATCTTCAAGGTATTTCTTTTTTATTTATTCTGTTTAGTTGTATAACTTTCTTGACTCTATTAATTTTAAACTTTGGAATTACAATTTCAAAATTACATTTAAATCTGATTTAAAAGCCCAATTTTCTAAGTTCTAAATCTATACATAAAAATTCATTTTTAAACCGATCATTTTGTGCTTTACTATGAAAACTATTTGGTACTGTTTAGCAATAAGCTTTTCAAATATTTCTTTTTACATTTTAATATTAATATGTAGTATATACTATTAAACTGTTACTGCCAAATTATAATATTGGAGGGACCGGAAAATAATGTCGTTTCGGCGCTTTAAATATTTGTTAGTCTTAAAAAACAATTCATTGAAAAGTTGTTGCTAACGAGGGTGAATAGCTTAGTGATTTAAAAAAAAAAATCTTCATAACAAATACCAAATACCCCTAAACGACATTACTTTCCGGTGTCCCTTATATTATTGTATCATTATTAAACTGTTATAATATTATTAAATTGTTACTACTGAAAATTTGCTTTGTGTCTGTAGCTAAGCATTTCTGGAGATAAGAATTTTTTTAACATAAAAATGATACATACTACATCATGAAACAAATAAAACATTTTATATAATTTTTGAGACTCTGAGTTAAAATATTTATTTTAGGGAAAATCCTTCCTTAGTTATTTCTCAAAACTATTATATGTTACATTACAGGAAAAACAAATAACATGATGTTCCAGTGGCACGATGATAAAATATGTGAGCTAAAGTTAAAACAATTATACATACTGTTAATTGAATGTTATGAAATTTATTTCATTAACTTAGCTCATGGTAGAAAGATTTAATTCATATTATGTATCTATTCTCTATTCTTTGTACTCATATGTTAGATTCAAATGAGTTGTCAGTGAGAATTTTATGTTTATAGTTTTTCCTCATTTAGTCTTATTTCCTTTGGTTCTGTGATTTAATTTTAGGAATTTAAAATCAGGATTGCCAAATTTAAGTAATTCCTAAAAAAGGCCTTTTTTTTTTTCTTTTCTGTTAAAACTACTAGAAAAAGACTGGTAAAAATAAAATGAACTGAGATGATATGCTATTAACTAGTGGTATGTTTCGATGTCGGGAACTAAATGCAACAACAGTTTTACTTTCATAATTTGCCTGAAGAAACAGCTTTAAATATTAGACTACAGAAAGTCAATAATTTTAAATTACTTGGAATAATAATCAATCTCCAAATGGTAACTTTTCTGAAATTTAGTCCATTTTTGGAAGGTTTTATTTCCAAATATATCTTCATTATTATTTTTAACAAATCTTAAGTTTCATAGAAAATATCCAATGAATTTGAAAAATGTTAATTCTAGAGCAATTAATTCAAAGCACAACTGGGATGTATTGAAATGTAACCGTTTTGTGTTCAGAGTGATTTTGGGCTGGATTCAAAGTAAAGGGGTGAATTGCATCACTAAAATTTTAATTGCCATTTATTGCATCCCTATTTATGTAATCAGTAGAAATAAGCTTCAATTTTTAGAAAATTGAGTTAAAAACTATGTTTAATAAAGTTAAAGTATACTGTAAAAATTTAATCTAGTTTAAATATTTTGTTAGGAATTTACTTTTACTGTTTAATATTATAAAAAATATATATAAATCACTCTAAGTGCTTATTTTCTTTTTAAATCTGTTTTAAATTTTATTTCACCTGAAACTAAGCAATACAAAAAAAAAAAAATAGGAATACGAATACAGAAGTTGAAGGTGAGATTTGTAAAACTAATATTTAAAAATCTTCATACTTTATTAAATTAATTATGAAATAAATGGATGAATTTCATTGCAACCTTACTTGAAATATTCTACAAAGGTGTCTAATAAGAAATTTCCTTATAATTTTGCTAATTAAGAATTGAAAATCAGCCCTACGCAACTACAAGTCTGGTGCAACCCCTAGATTTGTATTAATTTTTGTAATAAGTGGAAACCTGAAAAGAAATCAAACTGTGTTATTCAAAAGCATCAGATGATTATTCACTTGTCTCTATCCAGACTGATGGAATTAAGAAATAAAGGGGCCCTTCCAGATTATTTTAAAAAATACTGTTTAGCTATTTAAAATTTTATTTTCATTTCAAACAGGTAATTATTTTAATTGTTCCAGTGAAAAATTTTTAAATTGTGCTTGTTGTCTCAAATTACTTTGTTTACCTTACAATAAATATTTTTTAACTTTTATTAATATTGAAATGATTGATTTTTAAAAACAATTTGTTGTAAGAAATGTTAAATTAAAAACAGTTTTCAAAAATTAAAAAGAAAAATTGAATAATAGTGTTTAAGTAAAACCAAAAACTCGTAGAAAAAATTATTTGAACCGTTAATTTTGAAATTGCTATCTTTTGAATGAAAGGTGCATGCACTTTTATGTCACGATTTGGATACAACAATGACTGTAATCTTCATCTTTCCGTCGTGCATTATAATTCTTTTGTCTCTTTCAGAATATTTAAAATTCATCAATCAAAATAAATAACATTCAAATTTACTGCTTCCAAATCTATTCAAAACGAATTGTTTGACCTTAGAATTTTGTGTTACACTTATTACCATTTTCTAATAAAATGAAACCATGTTAAAGGAATTTATGTACAAATATTTTTATTTCTAGCTTTACGAAGGCAAGATGTACCTTCTCATAGAAATTCTATTCATCAACAAACGGGTAGTAAAACAAAAAAGCGCTTCAAATCTCTTGGATCTTTAGCTTCCAATCGTTTAACATTTTGTAGACAGTCCTGACAAATGATCAAAATCTTTTTTTAAGAAATGGTAGAATGGAAAACTTCTATTAATTGCACAAATGGTATGTTTCTATTTTATATCATGTGTCTTTAATGTTAATATTCAATTTGAAAATTTGTACATACTTATGTTAAATAAATGATTTTTGTTTTCAGACTTACTAATTGAATTTGATTCCTATGTTTTTAAATATATAATTTTTAATTCATTTCCTTTTTTTTTGTTTTTAAATTTTTTGTATATAATGAATTTCAAATAATATGAAAGTTATGAGTTTAAATCAATAAGGATCAGTAGGTCATCATTTCAATTTGAATGGTTGTTGAAAGAAAAATTATTCAAATTATTGAAGCATTATTACAATTTGGGGGGGGGAGGTTTTCTAGTTAGAATAATAGTTGTGCATAATTCTTAAAAAGTATTTTTATATTTTTAGTTGCTCTCAAGTTGAAAAAATATGTATAATTTAATATTTGCTGAATCTTAATTATGGTTTGTGAAATCTGAAAAAGTTAACACAATAAAGATTTTTTCCGTGTGTGAAACTTACATACGATACCAAGTATAATTCATTTGTTTTTAAAATTAGACAACAATTAGCGGATGTCACTACAAATTTCTGTCTTTTAAAATCTTGAGGAAAAAATTTTTTTTAACTCTAAAATATTAATTTAATCATCTTAAAAATTAATTGTATTAAGTTCCCTTTTAACTGAGTAAGTGACTATACAATTATACATTCCCTCTTTTATTAGTTGAATTGTACATAGGGGGCACAGTATTTTTAAAAATTGCTTTAAGTTGCTTATTTTCATTTTTTAAAATCCTTCAGAGGTGCTGCTTTCAATGGGTGTTTTTAAAAAGTGCTTAATTTCCCCTTTCCCAAAATGAAGTTTTTTCTTTATCATGTCAATTTTTGTCCCAAGTTATGCAAAACTCGTGATTTTCATATTATTCCTTTCAACATCTTCATAATTCTTTCAACTACAATCCATTTTGACATACTGTGTGAAAGTGCTAATCATTTTACTTTTATTGGTGAAATACTTCCGAATGTGAAAGTGCTTAATCTGAGCTGGATTTGGAAGAATTCTTGACCGCTCACATGCAACTCTGCTGCATTTTTCAAGAGATTCTAGATTTCAGGCTTATTTTTCCACACTTTAAAATCAAATCGAAACATTTTTTGAATTTTCACTGATCATAGTGCCTGATAGCAAAATATAAGTTTATTTCTCTTGTTAATTTCATAACTGGTGAAGCACCATCGTCACGGCAAGCCTTCTAGTGCTATTTTATTTATAAATCTGTACTATGATCTTTGAACTTGATGTTGCGATCATTCACTAATTATGTTTTTTCACGTGGATGCAAAGCAATCAACAATCACCAAGTTTCATCACCTCAAAGTTTCTTTCTGCCTTCTATTCATTAAATTTAACAAAGATAAGAATTAAGATTTTTACCTGTGGGGCATTCGCAAATGCATTAAATTTTTAAACTTTTATTAGACCTAATTACTTATAAATTTTCAGTATTCTTAAGCTGTTTTATATTATTAAAAAAAATTTAAAAAAGCTCAATTAATATTTCATGGCAAAATTTTTTTAAAAAATGTGTGAAGTGAGGGGCTTTTCCCTATTTTAACATTTAGTAAATGCAATATAAAAATTCTTTTGTTAACTCAGATTTGTCATTCTAAAAAATAGTTTGCTACATATTTTTTACACATCTTTATAAATTCAGTATGGTCAATAATATTAATCTTTTTAATATTTTTTTAATATACTTTTATTTATATAAATCTGCAAAATACACCCAATAGCTTTCTTAAATTATAGTTTAACTAATTATAATTTTGAATGAAAATTATTTTTTGTAAGTAATCAAATGAAGTAATTTATAATTTAAAAAATAAAATGTGCGACTCAATATTAAATATATATCAAGTTTTGCAGAAATTGTTTTTATGGTGGTTAGTATAATCAAGAGAGGGGTAACGGTTTTTCTCAGAAATTAGTAATTTTATCCTGATCATGGAAAGCTTTTGATAATGTTTTTGCCTTTTGTTTGATTATATGATATATGAACTTTCTACAATAAGAAATGTTTTTTTTATTAGTGCGTATATCCCAATTACAATTTTCTTTTAAAAAAGAGTACTTAAAAAGTGCTTATTTTTTGCCAAAAAAATTTGACTGCACACGCTGTGTATATATATATTTTTTATTTCTCAAAATATGCAGGTATGAATAGTTTGTAGTGAAATATTGTGTTTAGATAAAAGAAAAAAATCAAGCAAATACTGGTATCTTTCGTTATCATGAAAAGGTAAATAAAATCTGAATTGTGCTTCAAGCTCACTTTTCACGAATAGTAAGTTTTGTTTAAACAGTCTCATGTAATTATGAATGATTAGTTTATTACAGCACAATTCTAAATTTAGTGTCAATGAATTTAAATTTTTTTTTCCTTTTCCATTTAAGTGAGCATTAATGTTTTATAGGTGTGAGATCCAGATTATTCACAAAATCAGGTGATGCTGTGACTGCCTATTTCTAACTTTGCTAAAAAAAAATTTTTAAAAATTCCTCCCTTTTTTTATATTGAAACTGCCGATGGTTTCTTAGCATTACTTTCTTTCAAAAAATACAATTTATAAATAATATATATATATAGAAAGAAAGAAATGAGTCTCCAATCTGAACCTTGCAGTTAAAAAATCTGACTGGGGTATAATTTTTAGCATAAATGAAAAATTGTTTTTATATCCAAAATTTGTCTTAATGTGATTTTATTTGCTATTCTATTAAAATATTCCATGTACATTTTTTAAAATTCTCATTGTGTTTTATTTTGCATTTTTTCTAGAATGTTCCTTTGGGCAAAATGTCATTTCCTTTGTAGAAGAAAGTTTCATGGAATGCTGTTTCTAACAAGAATTTTAAGCAAGGCTCAATTTTCAAATGGAAAATACTTAATCAAGTTATTTAAGCATTTAATCCTTTTTACCTCCTAGCCTTTTAGGAAGAAAATGGAAATTGCATAAACTCTTTGGAATGGATTTTCACAGCTAAGTTCTTCTGAACAACTGAAACTTTATTTTTCCAGAAGCCCAAGAAATGAACATATGAACAATGCATTTTCTCACATTTTTCCTCTTTCTGTAGCTTTATTTGGAAAATGCTTAAAAAGTGAAATGTTGCTATTCTTTTATTCTCTAATTCCAATTTAAAAAAAAATAGGGAATCAAATGTTATGTCTGGAAAAATATCAGTTTCAAATTTAGAAAATATATATATGTATTTTTTAAAAAAAATGGAAAAGTGAATTTTTTTTATAATGAATGAAAATTATGAATCAGGTGAAAGAAAAATGTTTTATAGAATTATATAAATTTTATTGTATATGGTATTTATAAAATGTGTTTTGTACATACAAATTCTAAGTATTGTAAAGTGTAATATTTAAACAGTATTTTCAGTTATTTATCTAGTTTTTGATGTATGGATGTTTCTTTTATGGAGCTTATCTTACTAAATTTATTTAATGCTGTAAATGTGTTTTTATTTTCATACTAATTAAAAAATAAAGTACACGCTGTTAACAATTTACAAAGAAAAATATTGATTCTTTGTCATATCTTAAATTTGACATATATACTTGTAATGATAAACTGTTTTAAATTTGCGTGTTTCGCACATGACCATTTTTGGACCTTGTGCCATTAAAACCCTATGTTCAATCAAGCAAATCTTGGTCTATCGTCATTAAGTAATTTATCTCTTTATCTTATTTCTCAATCAAACAATTTTGAAATTTGAAATAATTTAATATTTTGTTCACTTCAAAATGAAAATTTGCTTGTACAGTAACAGTTTCTAAATCAGTTTTTTTTTTTTTTTAATGTTATTGACTATATTAAAATGTGTTAAAACAATCAGTGACTGATTAAATAAGAATCTTAAGTTATTACTATGTAAAAGTCAAATATTTGATCTTATTTATTGAATTATTTTAATAAAATACTTAATTAAAACTTAATTTAAATTTGTAAATCATTATAATTAAATTATAAACTAATTAAAATACTTAACTTATTGTTTTTTCTAACATATTTAATTATATTGCATAAAAATTTATTGTAGAAGAAGTCTTTTTATAATTGAAAAATGCCCTTCTTATTTACGAAAAAAGTTGTGCAAGACATATTTATTTCTATCCTTCACCAAAGATGTGGAGAAAGATTTTTATGTGATTAAAAATGCGGATTATGAGCCGCCATTTCTAGTTATATTACTAAAAAGAATAAATTTTTCATAAAATATTAAACAATCATAATAAAATTACCTAGCCGTTTTCTTCATATTTACTATAAAGTCAAACTACTAGATTTCACTAATTCAAGGTAGTAATATAAAAATACTACCTTTAATCAGGGCTGATTGTGCTCCGGATTTTTCGCTAGCAGTGATCCGGAAGTTTCCGGAGATCGAAGGTCCAGACGTTTCAAAAAATCATTGATCGCAGAAGTTTCCGAAAATCAAATTTTCAAAGGTGGAACTTAAAAACACAAGTTATTTGTTTGTAAGGGGGAGCCAGATACTTTATAAGCTTATATTCATGATTAATATTCATTTTTATCTGTAAATAGTTGTTATAATCATTAACTCAAGAAAGAAAGACATATTTGTAAATTTTAATTACTTCTCCAGGTCATCATAGGTATATGTAAATGGTATAGGTATGTGTAAAATTTTAAATATATTTTAAGTAAACCAAGAAATATTGAGAAAAAGGGAAAAAAAACTTGCTTAAATTTTTTTCTAATTTTTCAATTTAAACTGTCTTTTTTTTTTTTAACTCAAGAAATTTTCCGGAATTTTGACTTGGGCTCTCAATCACCCCTGCTTTAATACTAAATCTATTTTTTCTCCATTAAGTTTATATGCATATGAATCCTAAATCACTTAAGTTTTATAATGCTATGCAGGAACTATTTTCAAAAAGAAAATTTCTTTATTTCTCGATAGTTTTCATAGCTCCTATTAAGAAGCAGAAAATTAGTAATCAGACTAATTTATTGTTGAGACAAGAGAAACTTATTTGAAAAAGAAAATCCTGTATTTTCACCGTAGCTGGGTGTTTTCATTATATATCATTTTTTATTGTACCACTTTAAATAGAAATATGTAGTTAGAATGAAAGTTTGAAATTATTCTGTTAAGGTTGTAAATTCAAAGGGTTTATTTGATCTTGGATTTATAATTTTTTTTTTCATTTATAAAGATGTAGGCAAAGTTTTGATTATCATTAACTATAAAAATAAACACTAACCATCTGCAATTGGAGAATTTTGTGAAGAAAAAAAAAGGTTCTTTGTTGTAAGATTTTTAATATTTTAGACTTCTCATAATAAAATAACATATTTTATTCAATTTTCAATGACTGCAAAAGTTTTCACATTAAGCAGTTAAAGTATAGCAAATGGTGTATTCTTTATATCTTAAGTAGATGTTTTAAAATACTAATTCTGTCTCATAAATTGTCTTTTAGGGCCCCTTGAAATTTCTTAAGCACAAACCTCACAATGTTTTATTATTATTTTATAATTTGTTTTTCGTATGTTTCTATGCATTACTTATATAAATTTTTCCCCTACCTTTGCTCTTTTCAAATATCCTAGAAGCTCATTTTTTTAAAAAGTTCCTTTTCTCTACTGTGAAAACTGATGATGCTGTCCGGATATCGTTAAACAAACCAACTTTTTTTCCTTCGTTATTTTGTTAAATTGTAAAATTAAACCATACTACCTGATAAGGAAATTTTTAAACAATTTGTTCTATGTCTGACATTCCTGTTTCATTATCAAAAAGTTATTCTAATTATTGCATAGAATTTTGTAAATTTTAAATAAATATTAAAAGATTGTGTTTGTATTTCATCTAGCCATCGCTTGTCAATATGTTTCGTAATTTTTAAATCTCTGAGAAAAAAATGCTCAACTTTTGTGTCCATATTAATATCTGTGATTAAATAAATATGCTCATTATGGCATAGAAAGATAAGCATTACATTGAAATTAAAGTAAAGCAAAAAGAATAATAATAGTTTATAAATAAAATTTTTTAGAGGTCTCATATTTTATTTATATTCTCAGAATAGAGTTCAACATTAATAAATTTAAAAGCAAGTAGGCTCAGGGTAAATAATGATTTTTGGTCCCCCAAAAATATATATATTTTTCATTTACATCTTAATTGACATAAATTTGACTTTTTTGGGTTAAAAAAAAAAAGATTTTATTTTAATTCAATAAAATTTTTTACAAAACTGTAACCTTAGTTTCTTGCAAATTTTTCAAATAAATTCAGATTATTTTTCAACAACATTGACTAACATTAGCAATGCAGTAAGAAATTTGTTAGTCAGAGGAATTTGCCTTGTGAGTATAAGTCATCGCTGGGTAGAGAAAAATATTTTTTCTTTTTTTATCCATTAAGTGCTATAAGTTTTCATACTATTGTAATAGGTGTTGAAAATTTCCTATTTTATTTAGATATAATTATTCTGTATTAATCTGTTAACAATTTTTAATCTGTATTAACTGAAGCACATATTTATTCTTAAACTGGATGCATAACCAGTGGTTTTTATCTAACAATTAACCCATATAAAATCTGGAAAAAAAAAAGTTTCTCTTGTCTCAAACTTGAAGAGAGAAGGGAAAATTTGAGCTGTCAAATATCATGTTATCAACAAGAGAATAATAAAAATAATAATTTATGCCTTTAAGAAAAGAAAAACTTTGTTAATGCGAAGAATATATTTTATCAATGACTTTGTGAATAAGCAGTAACTCTAAAGGTGTTTTTCAAAATCTGTCAGACTTCAAATATATTTTAAAGCATCCACAACAAATAACTCGTGTTAACCCCTCAAGAATCTTTGACGGAAGAAAAAACTGAAAGGATAAGTGGTCTCTACTAACAACAGAAAGAAAATATACAATTTTACTCTCCTCTTGGAGTTTTGATTTCAGTATGTTTGTCTGTAGTCATTATGTCCCTTCATTTTGAAATCTGTTTACTGGATTAAAAATAATGTATATATTTTTAGAAAATCAGGAGGAAGAACAAAAACTATATAAAAAAAAATTGAAACAGAAGTTATTGTAAATTTGCAATATTGAGATTTGCCTCTATGTCAATTTACTATGTTCAAATACCTAAGCAGTTTAAATGCTTTTAATATATTTTTAAAGATAAAATAGCCACAATTAAATCTTTCATATTGACTAAAATCAACAAGCATTAAAAAAAAAAAAAAACTAAGCTTGTTATAGTTTTTTTCCCCTTAAATTTTGTTTAAAATATAATTTGACTAGTTTCTGCTATTGAAATACTTATGAACGCAAAGTTAGAAGTAAAAAAGTGTAAGGGCTTCTACCAATTTCATGTCTGTTCCGAAATTGAAAAAAAAATAATAAGGCTGATGATCGGATTTTTACACATAAAATTTTTTTTCTGTGTAACTTTGAGTAGTGGAGATTTAAAAGTATTCTATTAAAACATAAGTACCAATGTCAACTATTTTTATGCAATAGTTAATTCAGTCATTACAATATACAACTTTAACAAAGGTTAATTCAATCATGTTATGTATAAAACGAAAATTTACTTATGTCAGTACTTAATGTGGCTTTTGAATCGGTAACAAAACTGATTTAGGTGCATATTAGTTAATCCTAAACAATGCTTTATGTTCAATATAGTACGAAACATTGTGCTCATCCTATGACCACGTTCATGCTATTTTTCTGCATAATTGTACTGATGTCAAACATTGCCTTTTTCTGACAATGCTGTATTTAATAGCATATAAGTAATGTTTTTTGATATTTTAACCAAGTCTCTTAAGACAACGTAATTATTATATTTATTAATAATAATCTTTGTTGCCGATTGACCATTCATTATTTATAATTTTTCATTCAATTTCAATGAAAATCCTGTTAAATATTACATTTTCTATTTGATTAAGAAAGGTGAGAAAAAAAATGTCTTTCTGTGTTCATTCTTCCTAAAACGCTTGCTTTAGGTGTTTTCTCTTTTTTAAACAAGAACAGAAAAACAGCAGAGTGCAATAATGCTGTTATTAGCGCACAATATGATTGTTTTGTTATACCAATTGATTTCTTTTGTTTAAATATTGTATGACCTGTTGAATTTTCAATGATTTACGTAATGATAAGAAACTTTGATAAATTTAAGGCAAAATAAGTTTAAGTCATAAGGTTCTAAAATAAGTGCCTTAAAATTATCAAAATGCTTTCATGTTTCATGTAATTTTATTGTATGAAGTACTGTTTGTTCACAGCATTATAGGCATGTTGTTTAATAAAATGTTATATCTTATCTTGTCTATTTATTATTTGTACTAAATGTGTTTATGGTTGAACCTGAAATAAAAAGAGAATTTAAGATGTTAAAATATATAGAATTAAATTTTTTTAAGAAACGTTTTTGCGTTTATTCAGGAGGAAGTTTATTTAGTTTGTTGCGTTTATTCTCATAAGGAAAAGCATGTGCCATTTTCTGCTCAAGTTGAATATATAGATAGTCATTGAATTATTAGTTGACCTTAAAGCAAAGATGTTTTTCGAAAATGTTATATAGATCTTATCTTTTAACTATCCTACTATTGTCGGCCATTAAGGCAGAGGAGGTGCTATTGTTTTTGTTTTCCAATGGCTCCATCTATGGCTAAGAATTCGATTTCTGCCACACCCTTTTATAGGGCTGACCTAATCATACATCCACAGATCATAATTTTGACTTGAACCAGAGAACGATCAATCTCCAATTCAGTACCCCCAAAGGTTTAAATTGTTATGGAAACATGGAGGACTTAGTGACCAGACAGATTTAACGTGCACCAGTCTACACAAGGCTGGATTCGTTCTCACAAACGGGAGTTCAGTGCCCAAACAAGGGTATCCTGGCCCAATTTACCAACTAAACATGGCAATATTTTTCTTATAACAAATCAATTTTAAAAACACAAAATATGCACATTAGTATTATTTACTAGGAAAAAAATTTCTACTTTCTGCATCATTAGAACTAGCAACAAGCAAACTAATCAATTTCGGTTTGCTTAGCCTTTAAAATGTTAGCCTCTTGGATAATAATTAAACAAATAATGTAAAAAGTTTACAATTCTTGCTTAGTTATAAAAATTTCATTGTTAGCACCCGTGGTTTATGGAGGATTGCGTTATACTTACGGCATAACTATTTTTAGTTCATTCTTATAATTTGATAATGAACATGCTCAAAATCGTGGCTTCTACTTTGGTTGGATTGTGATATTTCGCCAAAAGTAACAAAATGAAGCTTATTTTTTTCTTATCTGATAAGGCGCAAAATTGTCTAAAATTGGAGATTTCCGTTTTGTTCGTAACATTTTATTTAGAATATCTGTCAATTAGAATACTTATCTCGATGACTGTAATAATCTTTTTTATCTAAATTATTTTTTTGTTTTTCTTAAATGTGATGAACATTTGGTCCAAATTTTGGTAAAAATGTGTTATTTAGCATTACTGCCAGTTACTTTACTGTTATATACATCGAGAATCCCAAATTATAGAAATTGTTTTAGTTCTCGCAAGAAGACAGGTTTCAAATTTTTGCTTCCTAACTTTGTTATCCAAAGTTTAAAAAATATAAAAGCAAACGAAAAGTGTATTTCGATTTTTTTTTTTTTTTTACCTAGTCCTAAGAAATTAATTTTCGGCTCAAGTTAGGCCGCAATTCCGGTCCAAAGCTGTGAAATTGACATCAACAGATTCAGTGTTTTGCGAAAAAGACTATCTCTGTGTGTGAAAATGATAGTTTTGAACTTTACTGAATCCTCTTTTTCTGAATATTTCAGTTTAAAAATTTCAAAAAAAGGACGAAAATTGAGCTTATGTTTTTGTGATCGCTCAGCCGTATCATTTATTAGCTTTTTGGAAGTTTAGTTGAAAAAACAATTGACATTAATTATTTAGGAAAGAATGACGCGACTGTATTAAAAACTTATTATTTCATTTTTTTTAAAACCTACATCAGTCATTAGTTAGGACTGGTCTTTATATTGATATTTATTAAAATACAAAGGTTTCGTAAAACAACTCTAATTTTCAATTATCTTTTCAGAGATTTTTACAGGGTTCGTGTGCACCAGGAAAACAAGATTTTAGCACAAAACCTGGAATTGTCGGGGATTTTTCACCCTAACAAATCTCGCAAAGAACAGTGTTTCACTCTTTTGTTTGCGGTTGCACAAAATAATAATAAAAAGAGGAGAAATTAATTGCCGAACAAACGATCACTTGGTAGGTTATCTAAATTCTTAAATGTTTTAGCATTTCTGGAGATTAAAAACAGCGATTGGATTTGTGGGATTTAAAAAACTCAAAATTTCTGCCTTCAAAGTCTAAGAAAGATGTTTTGAAGACAGTGGTAGAGAAGAATAAATTATAGACGTACCAACCTTCTCGCCTTTTATGGTTGAGTAGCGATATCTGGTGGCATCTCCTACCCTCCGGAAATTATCTGAAAATCTCCCGAATTTTAGTAAATTAGTAAGGCAAACTTAGGGTTACCATAATTTCGTTTTTGTATTTTCCCGCTGATGACGCCAACTTGGTACCGTTACTGGAAAGCTAATGAAAATCAGTACTGCAATGCATGAACTTGCTCGTTCACGCATCAAGTTTTTCATCTGGGTTTAAAGATGTCAAACAATGACAGGCAGCGTTCATCACTCCATAATTTTCATCTACTTTTTTAATTTTCTAATTAAATAAAATTTAATTAAAATTTTAACTTAGCGAAGTTTGATTTGAGGGATCATGCACTAATAAGTACTTAAAGCTTTTCATCTCTCTGCCTGGTTTCGTGATTTTCAAAAATTTCAGTTATGAATTATTTTATTAAGAAAAAAAGTTTGTAATAATAAATCAATTAGGATTTTAATTAAAGTACGAATTTAGGGGACCTTCACTTAATATTTTAAATCTATACAATAACAAACCTTTTATGATTTCAATTTGCATTCTAAAAAATTTAACTAATTTCTTTATAATTTTTTTAGAAACAATTGATGTTAATGATAAAAGAATAAAAATGGTGAATAGAGTGAAGAGAATTTTGAAAAATGGTGAATTTATGTATTTTGCCATATAAAATTACTTTCTTTAAAATCTTGTATACTTTTCAATTCAAATTTTTTTCAACTATTATTAAATGAAAATTAATAACTATTTATTAAAAATTATTTGTTACATGGAATTATTTTTGGATAAATGAATTTCGTAATTGTGTGTAATTTTTTCCTCTTTTTAGCTTGCTTAAAAAGTTTTAGAGATACAGGAAAATATGCAGAAAGTTAAAACATTAAGGGGTCAAAAATTTAGATTCCTCTCCTGAAAAAACTTTTGGGAACATATTTCAAGGGTCTGGAATCAAAAACCGTCGAAAAAAGATAGGTTTACTCAGAAGAAGTAAGTTTTTGTTTCTGATTTTGTAACTTAAAATATCGTCTGTGTATCCATATTTGAGGTCTCCACTTCCAACCATTAAGATTGTAAGTTTTAAACTGTTTTACATACATATATAATTACTGTTTTACATTATATTAGCTGCAATTCATATGAAATGCAAATGATGTCAATTATGTTTTATAAATGAAAGAAACTGAATTAAAATTATACACTTAAAAGGAATAAGAAATTTAATTGAAAATAATAATATCAAAGTTCTATTTAATAAAAAAAATATTTTTTTCCTTTCTAAATAATACTTCATTAACAGTATACGGGAATCTCACATGGGAGAGAATTATTACAATTAAATAAAACTAGGGAAAAGAACAATACTGGAAACATCAGAATAACAAAAAAATTAATGTATGCCATTTGGAATTTATACACATTTTCAATTAAAGTATGTATACAAAAAAATTCAAGTTTGGATACATTTAAGATTCATGTAGTTTTATACAACAATGTTAATTGAGAATAATAATATTAAAGTATTGTGTAATAAGACAAACTGCCATATTGTTTTATTTATTTATTTCAAAATAATACTTTATAATAAGCCATTTTATCACAACAGCATTTCATACAGTATTTTTATATTTGATAAAGTAAGGATTAATTTTTGTTACAATTAAATAAAACTAGGGGGGAAGGGAATACTGAAAATATCGTAATACAGAGAAATAAGTTTATACATATTGGAACATATAGTTTAATTTATATATCCATAGAAAAGTTTAAATTTGGAGAGGAAAAAAACAAGAATCAATGTTGGAAAGGAAAGCTTCAACAAGACATTAATCATAAAAATGTCACTGACTTCTAGTAGTACATATGTATTGAGATAAACTGTCATAATGTGTCTCTTTTTTTTTCTTAAAAATAATACTTTATAAAAAGGCACTTTACTGTAACATTGTATTAGGTACTTTATTGTAACAGGATTAAGATAAATAAGGTATACTTCAAAAAGATATTTACTAAAAAGGGATATGATTTAGTATTATTAAACATTATTTTAAACTAAGAATGAATCCCCAAAAGAGGTTTGCAAGGAAACGTGAAGTGAAAAACTTAATAAAATTGTTATAAATTTTATGTTAAAATAAGTATTCAGTACCTTTTTTAAATTTATTTATGAGTTTATAACTTTTAGTCCCTTTCATTTTGGCATTTTTACCAATATGCTTTCATTTTAACGCTTATAACTGATGTTTTTAAAGTTTTTATTGTACCTTGCAAACTTCTTTTTAAAACAATTAGCTAGGCCAGCAGTTCCCAATTCATGGGCAGCATGATTACTGTGCCGTGAACGCTGGTTGAAAGCTTAAGCTGTTACCAGTACTAAGCAACTAAGTTAATACCAATTTTAGACATGATTTACAAGTCTTAGTGAGATGTGGCGTCACTCAAAAGCTCTAAGCCCATAACCAATGAGGAAAACGTCCTTTTCATTTGTCAAAGCCAATACTTTTTTCCTTCCTACATATATATAATAGGTGTCTATTTGTCATAATATAGTTCTTCCCATATATTTAACTGATATTAGTGGAACTTCAGAAGCTTTTCTTATTTTTATTTTTTCAAAATTGATAATCTGTACAACTGAAAAGGTTGGAAACTGCTGAGCTAGGCAATTATTAGCAGTTTTTTATAGATATGGATGGAGTCAAATCAGAAATGAAAAAATTTAGTCAATATCAAAATTATCTCTAAAATTACTTAATTCAAAAGTAACTTTCAGCAATATTTTTAAATTTCATTAAAGTAAGCAATAAATAAAATAATGAAAATAATATAAGAAAAATAAAAATACCAAAAATTATATTGCAAAAAAGAAATAAATAAAAAAAAATGGAATGCATAGTTTTTATAATTTAGAAAACGAAAATAACCATTTAAGTCTGCATGGAATAAATCAAATACAGTAAAAGATATTTATAACGCAAATCTTGAAACACAAAGCCTTGCATTAGAAAGAAATTTGTGTTTGCATATCATTTCACATATTAAATTTGCCAACTATGGCTATACATATCTGGAGCAGATCAATATTTATGCTTGAAAACAATTTTTGAATACACATACTTGAAAACACAAAAATATGCACCAAAATGTTTATTTATATACTAAAGGTGAAAAAAATTAAATTACAAAGAGTGTTAGAACTAACAACAAAAAAAGTTATCAATTTTAGTTTACTTTAGAGATTATAAGCATTCAGCAGATACATAATTGCTGCCTGGAAACAGTTAATATTTTTTGCTCAGTTGCTGAAATTTTTTATGTGTGATTGATTGCATTGTCTACTAATTATATATTTAATAGAAGTCTAAGAATAATAAAGATAAAGTTACTACATATATGCTCAAGTTACTAATAATTTTATAAACATAAAGTTACTGTGGTTTATAGAGAATTGTGTTATATTAATCTGCTACTGTATTCACGTAATTCATTAAAAAAATTAATTAAAAGAAAATGAGATTCAATATAATCACAAAAGACTCTAAAATAAAAAAAAATCCCAAAATAAAATTTATAGATATTTCTCAGTAAGAAAATCCCTGGAATGTGAATATAATCTCAGAAATAATTTCTTTTCACTAGACCTTAATTCAGTGGACAAGCTCAGTAATAACGGACTGAAAAGCTTCAGCTGCCTTCAAGATGTCCTGTTCCGTGTGAGAGGAAGATATTTGTACACGGACTCTAGCTCGATCTAAAATTTGAAATTTACTTACTATTAATATTTTCTGCTCTTAAAATTTAACCAATTAGAACAAAATACATATTTTGTACTTACTTTTAGGAACAACTGGATATGTAAAGCCTATGACATATATTCCCTTATCTGTGGAAATAATACCCAATTGAAAATGTTATCTAATGTTTAAATACTATAAAAATCTTTTTATAAATAAAAATCAACCTACATAAAAATAAAATAATTCTTAAATACATATTTGCATCTAAACATAAAAGTAAAATGCATTCTACAAGAAGGCCATTCTACAAACTAGTCCAAATATTTTTACATTTAATCTCATAAACTGAGTTTGCAACTCTCTAACTTTTGAATGGCTACAATTATAGTTATAAAACTGGTGTCTGAGAGTAGTAAAGTAGTTATGCAGCAAGACTAGAAAATTCCTAATTTTTTTAAAAAATGTAAAGAAATTGGATTTTTTTTATTTAAATCAGATTTCTTTAAATATTTACTAGCAAAATCATATGATAAAATGTTTATACATTTCACTTTAAATGTTTCCATTTGTTTTATCAATAATAAAATACTCTATATAATTTGCTTAATTTGTTATCATATATCTATTAAAAATTTAAATATTTTACTAAATTATATAGCCCTTTTTATCATAATAAGACACAGAAATTATGTTAAAAAATTGGCTAATTTTTTTACCACAAGCATAGTCAAGTACTCACATTAGACATTAAATTTATAACATTGTTTTATTTTCTTACTATTCTTAAAATACTGCAAGAATTTTGGTAAATTTGCTTGAGTTATTTTTAAGTTGTAAGTGAAAAAAAATGCATCAAAATTAAAATTTCTTAAAGAAATGTCGATGGATATACATGCTATGTTTACAAAAAAATAAATCTATATTTTGCAAAGACTGACTATTGACAGCAACATCTTTCAGATACTGTGTGTGCATAGATATTAAAAAATTGCACATTGATTGCTATTTATTATTATGTGTTCAAAAAATACTTTTGTTTCTAAACTTTTATTGGTTTTCTAAGCTCCCACACAATTAGATGATTACAGCAAAAGTGTGACAAATCACATAATCTTAGTTACAAATCAATCTTTATAATTTAGGAAAATGACAACAATTAAAAGTATCTGGATGTTTTTGTTCTTATAGTGCAGCTTTTTAAAAAACATTCCTTTTTAAAACCTTAGGCAAGGCATTTGGCTAACATTGGAACCTGAAACTACTTTTTCACCTTCACCTAAAAGACTCATTATTTTCCATCACTTTTCTAGGGATATGGGATCAGGAATTGTAAGAAAATAATATGTATGAGTAGGAAGGCATTTTATTCCAATAAATATAAGACATAGTTACTTTGTTTAGGTCTTTGTCTAAACCAGGTAAATAGGAGAGGATTTCTTACACTTTTATTAGCATTAGGGAATCAATAAAGTGGAATGACTTTAATTTATTATAATTTGTGTAATTTTAACAATAACTACTATTAAATTTGAATTAATATAGTTTCACTAACTCAATTAATATTTCTGACTGAATATTAAATTTTATAAATTTATGTATATCTGACTTAACTACTTTGTATTTTTTTCCAGGTTATGCTCAGCAAAACTAAGAAAATTCTATCGCACTTTTCTATCACACCGCTCAGATATTTGCTAAGGGACTCAACCGTTTATTAGAATTAAATAACTTCAGGGTATTGCTGAAATAACATTAAATATAGTGCTGCATAACATAGCACTGTGTTATATTTTGTGAAAATAATTATTGTATGAAATATTCAAAATAAAACTACAGAAATATCTATCGATAAATTTAAAAAAATTAAACATACCTAGCATTTTGTTAGCGATAGCCACAGCTTTATCTTCAGGAACCATTACAGGACAAATAGGATGATCATCTCCCTTTAAAAAAAATTAAGTTAAAATATGAATTACAATTGTGAAGGTAAATAATCTAACTTTATTGTTTTAATTCACAATTTTTTAAATAAAACCAAAATTAAATTAAACAAACAATTCAAAGAGTTTCGTTAAGTTATTAAATTATTTTTTAAAAATTTATAAAAAGTTTACTTACATATTAGTTATTTTTAAATATTTTACATAAATAAAGTATGGAGTTTATGTAAAGTCTATATCAATCGTTCGACAAAATAATGACAGTTCACAAAATCAACGTCCATAAGTGGTTAATGAAAAGAAAACAAGTTAATATTCAGTAGAAGAATCTATTTTCAAGATCACTTTTACTCTTAATAAAAATGAGAAAATACCCAATTAAAAAAACCTTATTTGCAGTTGATTAAATCTAACATAAACACACATTTTTTTCCTAAAAATTTATGAACTTTACTTTTAGAGTTACATCAATCAGAAAAAAAAGTTATTATTCTTCAGCATAGTATTAATGGGTAATTAGACAATTCACAATATTTTGTGTCATAAAAACTAAAACAATTTAGATTGCAAAACAATAAGAAGTACTACATTTCACTCTTTTAATAATTTGTATGTTTTTCTAAATAAGTTGTATGGGTAAACTCTATTTGTACAGTAAAACAATTTTTTAAAGAAAGATAAAAAAAAAAATGTCTTCATTTTGCTGTACTAATCACTGATTTACAATATTTTGTAGCATGGTTTCCAACTGGAAACGAGATGCACTTCCTTATAAATTATGAAACATTTAATTAAATGAGTTAAGAAGTATATAAAACACACAACCTAAAGTAGGTTAATTTTTTTCATTCTTTTAATTGAAAAGTAAAAATCAAATATTTCAAATAAAAAACTTACAATAGTTTCAAGCCCTTTAGATTTCATTGAAGATCTAAATATTTTAGTATTTTTATGCAATCGTTCCACAAGAGAAGGGTTTTCTATGATTATTTCCAAAGCCTGTAAATGATGAAGTTCAAAATATTAATGATATACAAAAATAGATACGTAAATTTTCAAAACAGAAGAGATTGTACAAAATAAAAATAAATAAGAAACTATTACTTTAAACAAAAATGACAGTGGATCAGAAGATATTAGGAATTTTGTTTATATGACAAAAGGTATTAACAAATTTAAAAGCTCATACAAAGCAATCTATCCTGACTGCAATAAATTTTCTTTTTCCTCAAAATTTTTCCTAATCCTCAAAATATGCTTTTAAATTGCGGTCTTCTCCGCACAGCAAAACTGGGTTTTTCATGATATTAGATAGGGAAATAGCGTATTGGAGAGAAATATTCTTCAGATTTTGCCAATTTTCAAAACCGCCAGTAGGTTAAACACAAAAAATTAAAACATGTAATATTACTAATTATACAAAATAAACTATTAAAATGCACGCTATAAATAGAAAAATTACATAAGACATGCCAATAGAAACAAATTGTATGTTTCTAAATAAAACTTTGCGAATTGAATTGAATTAAATAATATTTTGTTAAAAACTAAAGTTAATTTAGGTATATGTCATAAGATCAACTAGAAATTTTTTTTTAATATTTTTGTTTTATTTGAAAAAGTTGAAATACCAAGTGAAATGAGAAAATCGAATCAAAATGTTTACAATTGTATTACTAATATAGTCAACAAAACATTTAACGAACTTGAAAATTAAGAAATTTATATTATAAACCAAATGCTTGATACATATGGGTCGTGGTGAAATTTACCAGGTGTCCTAAATTAGAATGGTAGTTGTTAAAAAATGACAAAAAAGTGGCTAAATAGGAAAAAGATAATTTATGTAATCAAACATAAATTTCGCCTTCCAGCGCTCATTCATTTTTAGTTCAAATTTTTTTAACAAATTGTGCTACAAGTAGATAAAATTATTTAAAAAAAAAAAAAAAAAAAAAAAAAAAAAAAAAAAAAAAAAAAAAACATAAATAAAAATTATATAATAATGTTTTGAAACACTTCAATGCATGAAAATTACATTATGCTATTTATGAAATGTCCACTATCAGAAACAATCACATATTGTAATTTGAGATTGAAACTTAAATACATCAAAATACAATAGAAAGAAAGAAAAAAAAAATTTGGTACAGTTACATCTTCAAAATTCCAGATCTAAAACCAAGAACTCTGAGCAGAAAAAGTTATACTTTGGCACATGATATTAATTGTTTCTTAAACTAAATTGTTTCCCTATTATAAATTTTTAAAAATTGTCACTCTTATTTAGGGCACCCTGCAAAGGAAAAAGACATTTAAAAGACTTATGTGTAAAAAATAGTTTTTACAACTGTCCCTAAAAAGGGATTATAGGCTCTAAGCATGTGAGGAAAAAATAGCATGTTTATAGACTTAAGTATTTGTTAACAAATTAATGTAACATTTAAGAGTAATTCCAGGTAGTTTGACAATTTCAGTAATGAATTCACACTCTATAAAAAAAAAAGATTCTTGGAAATTTGTCTTTAAAAAATAACAATATCAGTTTATTTATTTTAATTCGTAAACTTTTAGAAAGGAAAATAAAAATGAGTATCATTATATATTCAAAAGTATTATTAACTTTAGTAAAAGTACTATTAAAAGTAACATGATTAATCAATTACTTTTATTCCACAGGCCACAACAGCAGGGGGAAGAGCATTGGAAAACAAATATGGACGAGATTTTTGACGTAACAGACTGACTAACTCAGATTTGCCAGTTGTATAGCCACCTAATACAGGTATAAAGATTAACAGATATGATTCAATAAGAACATTGGAAACATTTTATTAAATATAAGCCAATACATTGCAGTGATAAATTTGTTTTAAAACTAAATTATGGTTGACAGTGTAAACAAACTGAATTAAATTTTTATAAAGAATTTTTCAAAGCAAAACACAACTTAAAACATAAAATTAAAATATACTTGATTATAATAAAATGCTTAATATATGAAATAAAAAGATTACTTAAATTCTGTTAATTTTAAAAACATAAAAATGAAAATTAATTGAATAATCAAGTTTGTTTTCATAAATTAGCCAATCAGCATTAACTATATTTTTATAAATGCCTTTAATTCAGCTTCTTTGATTAATTTTAATTTTATTACAACTTATTGTTACAAATTATAATTAAATCTTGATTGTACTTTTTTTTTAGGGAACTAACAATTATTTGCACCTAGGATAGTTTTTTAGAATTCTAAGTTATATTAATTATGATTTTAAATATGGTCCAATGTAGAATAATAAATAAAATAAACAACATCATCTGGTAACTTTTTGAAAAACAATTTGTTGCATACATTGATTAATGCACATTCATTTTTTTCTTATTTTTGTAAGTATCAGCATTCATTAACACTAAAATTAAGACCTTAAGTTCAAGTTTTTAAAATGCACACAAAGAGTAAAACATTTTCTGATTTAAAGCTAACACAGAAAAGTTTAAATCACATATAAAAGATAAGAAATACAAACAAGTTAAAATAAGGAATTTATATTAAAACAGTTTTTTGCCAAATATAAAAGCCAATATCTTTTCTGACTCATCACAAAATCCTCCATCTGATGAAGTTAGAAAAGTACAATTTGGATCATCTATTCTTCAGGTAAAAATTAGTAAACTAAGAAAGTTTCATTCTGATTTATGTCTAATTATTGGAGTAATTAGAATAATTAGCCTAATTGGCAGGATTTTTTAATAAGATAAAAATCTCATACAGCATATTTAATAAGATAAAAATCTCATACAGTATATTTAATAAGATATGAATCTCAAATATGATCTATGCGTTGTTATGAGATAAATAGGAAAACTATACGGTTTTCATTCGATGATTTCTCAATTATTGGGGTAATTAGGAAAAAAGTTGGTCTAATTAACAGTAATACTCAATAACATATTTTACAAAAATAAAAGCCTCAAATTTGGACTCTGTGTTTCCAATCAAATATTTCATTTTGATATTTTGTAATTAACAGTGTAGTAATTCAAGGGTAATTACTCCCTAATGAAAGTTATGTTAAATAAAAGTTTGCCACAAAATAGAAATCTTAAATTTTGACAAGTTTAGATAAATAGAAAAACTAAAAAAAATATATTTTAATGTTCAATATTGCTTATCAAGAAGTATCGAAAAAATGTCCCTAACAGAAACATATTTAAACACAAACAATCTGGACACTAAAGGCAGCTAGTATATAAAACTAATGTTTACCTGCAGCACCTCCTAAAGCTTTCCCCAAGGTAGAATTAATAATATCAACACTTCCATTTAAATCAAAATGTTCTTCAGTTCCTCTAAAATAAAATAATTATTAATTTGCATGGGTCAATTATTAATATGAAATCATGAAAATTTGGTATGCAAAATATTATGAGAAATATCACTGTGATAGTTTGTAAAAAGTATGATAAAATTATTTACTAAATAACTTGGCAAAACAAATATTCAATAACTAAGTATAAAGCTGAAATTAGACTTAAGATATAATGAATTACTGAGAACTGGTGTGTGCATGGATGAGAAAAGCCTTCACAAACTTTAAATGGCCTTTTTAATAAACAGTTTTCCACACTTACTAATTTCTTATCTTTTTAAAATTGCATTTGATTTTGTTAAAACATTAGCAACATGTATATTACAAATGCAGTTTCACTGGAAGTTGAAATTTTTTTAATTGATATTTTGGATTAAAAGAATGATAAGCACAGATTATTAGGATCTTTTTCATTTTATTTGTCCCCTTGAAAAATCTATTAAAGTTCCAATGTAAAATCATATAAACTAGATTATTCAACGAAAATGAATATTATAATGTCTCATATATAACTCATTATAGACTGTTACCATTGTTTTGTTGCAATAAACATACATTTATCTATAGCTTTTATAGTATTGTTAAAAGACAGAAAATCTGATGTGCCAAATACTACACCCAAATTATTTGAAGAAAAAAAAAGTTTTTTTTCGAGCACATTTTGTATCAAAACATTTTACAATTGCTTTCTGTACTAGACTCTTAGAACATTTCTTAACATATGGAAGAATTCAAAGTTAAAAACCCTTTTTTCTTGGAGCTTAAAATACAATTAAAAAATTGCTTTTAATCTTTCTTTCTTTTTTAAGCTTAAGAATTATTTATTAAATACTATGTATTTTAATGTTCAATAAATCATAAAACTATCTGGCAGGAAAAAAAATGATGTGTAGGAATAAATTGAATTAGTTAAAATTGAACTAAATAACTAAGCTACAGAACAGCTAATATGAACATTAATTATGTATATATATTTTAATTAATTTATTTGAAATGAATGTCTTGAAATGAATTATTTCACAAAAATTAAAATAGATAATTAAAAAATACATTACCTTCCGGATTTGCCAAGAACTCCAGTTGAATGGCATTCATCCATAAAAATCATAGCATTATACTTCTTTGCCAAATTGCAGATATCTCTTTAAATAATCATTTTAAATTATTATCCATTGCAGAATAATTCTGATTAGTTATTACAATATAAATAAATATTATAATTATAAAAAATTACCCTCATTTCTAGAGTTATTATATTCATTTATATTTAAGCTATAGATATTATTTTGGTACTGTGAAATTAAAAATTGGCAAAGCTATTAAAATTATAGATTATGCAATTCAGTAATTAAAGGTTTTTTTTATTATATACTTTCTTAAAGATATGGGCATCAATTATAATAACATAATAATCGAAACAAGTTAAAAATGTTTAGAATCAATTTTCTTTTTCAAAAATTACAAGAACATAAAAATAATTTTTAAAAAGTTCAAAAAATAAATACCCATTTTTTGTAAATAAATTAGTACTATCAAGTATAAATAAGGAAATTATTAGAATAAACAAGGTAATAGAAAATGAAATGCGAAAAGTAACTGATTAAACAAATAACCAGTAAATGCAACTAAAATAATTTTAAACAACACAAGCTGTTGATTAATCTAAGAAACATATATACAGACTTGATGCTTTGGCTTTATAATAAAAAAATTTTTTTTTCACAATCAGAACACTTTTTCTCATTTAAAACACATTACAGGGCTGCCACTGGATAAAAACAAGAAAAATAGTTGCTTTAGTTGCATCATATATGAAAAATAGTCTCCAAGATATATAAAATAGTTGTTAACATCATATCCTCCTCTAACATAATTTTAATTATTTGTGCTGTAATAGCATAAAATTCAAATAACATGCAGTTAGATACTCATATTTTATAAAAAAATGTACATTTATTTGTGGATTTGCCAACAATATATTCTTTCACACTACGCATAAAAACAGGGAGTTTTATTTTTATCTGTTACAGAACAGTTGAATTTGAAACTTTAATTTCCTTTCTCGGTTCTAATTTGCAGCTGCTTAGTTTAGGCATTAAAAAAATAAATATTGCATTTTAATTCCATTTTATTTTGTTTATTTTTCATAACTGACACATTTCCAAATTTTAATGCTTATCAAAAAAATTACGATCACAACTCGACAAAACGAATATCACCATGTACCTTTTTTTCTATTCTAAATAGCTCTAAAAAAAATTAACAACACATTTTGGGTAATTAAAGACAATTTTTCTAATTTTGCTACTTCGTTCAAATTAAAAGATAGGAAGAAACTTAATCCTCAGAGATATTACATTAGCTTTCTAAAGCAGGAGGAGCATTCACGTAGTACGAATTCCAATTCCATCAGTCTGATTGGTTAAATATGTCTGTCATGCTTTTGACATCAAACAGTGAGAAATAATAAAGTTAGGATTAAATGAAAGAGCGGCAAAAAAATAGGGGGAAACTCATGAAGCTATTCTTCATTTTAGTCGTTTTGGCTTAAAAAAGTCGCCGATTTTACGCAAATCATTGCAAATTAGTTGTTTTTACTCATATTTCTACTAAAATAGTCGCCATAGTTGCTATTGCTTTAAAATAGTCGTTTTAGTCTCCAATGGCAGCCCTGCATTATTCCTCCTATTTATGTTAATATGCCATTTTATCATTCTCAATTTGTATGTTTAGGACAAAAATGCGCTTCAAACATTTTATTATATTAAATTATTTTCAGCAAAACTTAAACTTGTTAACTTTAAAAATTTTTCTAGCAAAATTTAAAAAATATCAAAAAGAAATTTGAACAAGACAAAAAATAAGGATTATAAGTATACATTACAGACAATTAAACATTCAAAATAAATAAAAAAAAATTTGGGGCTTTACAACAAAAATAAATGAATGAATAAATAAATAAAAAAAAGGAAGTAAATAATAAAAAAACAGTAATATCCAAAACAGTAGACTGCCATCAACTTGTATTCATGATTATATTCATGCAACAACAAATATTCATGATTAAACATAAACTGTTTTTTAAAGAGTTTAAGTTTGATCTTTAACAGTTGCGGTGAGTCTCCCATATTATGACTACCTTTGTAATAGAATGCGTAATTATTAGTTTAATACATGCTTAAATTATTAGTTTTAAGGCATGTAATGATTCCTTTTACTAAAAAAAAAATGAAAATAGTCAAACACAGTTGAAAGAAAAATAAATAATAAATTTCATGCCAATTTTAGTCGAAATAAAATAAAAACCTACGGTAATGGTGCAATATTTCCATCCATACTGAAAACTCCATCGGTTACAATAAGTCTCATGCGAGCTGATGAGCTTTCCTGCAATTTCTGTTCCAAATCTAAACAAATGTAGGTGAAATTAAAATGAATTTTAATATTAATTATTAAAAGCAAAGCAAAAATTATAAAAGCATTTAAAAAATTTGCTTTGAAGATTTTTATTTAACAGAATTTCTAGTAAAAAATAGATAAATAAATAAATGATCGAAAATCATAGGCTTTAATGTTCAGAATTAAATAACAATCCTATGAAAGTATTTATAAATAACATTAGTTTTACCTTATGGCAAGATAGCTGTTTTATCAAATTAGACACCCACAGGCAATTTCAATTTGTGATCTTTAAAACTATTTAATCAAGTACCACTGCTTTAAAAACACAAAAAAGCAAGAGCAGGTTCTAATACTTTATAAAACAATTCTTAATTTTAAATATTTTAGCTTTGACATAAAAATGTGTCAAAATCTAAAATAAACTATGTAATATCATTAATTAAAGTGTAAAATTAACTATGAGCCCAAATTTCAAATAAATAGTATAAAAAACAATGCAGTATTTTGTATTACGTTCAAGCAGTGATGAAGAAGCAATAACCATAATGTAATTGAGAAATAATATCTCATCTTATTTCAGTAAAAATTAATAAAAATATAACATATTGGCCTTCAGCTTCATTTTTGAATGGAGGCAAAAGCAGTGAGATGTATATGAAAATGTAACATAACAGAGAATGATAAATCTGAAGCTTGATGAAAAATGCTTTGCGGTTGCTTGAAATGCACCTAGATTTGACATATTCTAATGCTGCCAAATGACGATGTATTAGTTATCTGCAGTTCAAATTGGTGATTAATTTTGAGTTTTAAATAAAATTATTAGCCAAAAATAGAAAACTTAAAATACAATAAGTGAGAAGGTAAACAACAAAGATACTTGGTTAAGATACTTGGTAAGATTACTCAAATTCAATGTAAAAGGCACGTTAAAAATAGACAGGTTTTAGGTGAAAGTGAGTGACTCAGAATATTATTTCAATGCAACAAATTAGTTAATATTTATTTATAATTGTAATTAAAACATTATTTAAGGTTTATCCTTTAACAATGCTTAATAATAATACATGCAAATTGCATTTAATAAACATTATGATTTCAAAATAATTAAAAATTAACACATTTAAAAATTAACACATAATTTAATAGCATTATCATGCACCAAAATCATTTATCTTTTTGTTTAAATAAATAAAAATAATAAATGTTACAAAAAAAATATTACAAAATAATTCTCTACAGTACCTAGATAACAATCTGCAAAATAAATAAAACAAATAAAGAAAAGAACAAAAAAAAAAGTGAATAACAACTAGAAAAAATTGGATGCAAAATTCACAGTTAATATGATTGTTACTTTCTTTACTAATTTCATTAGTAAATTGCAAAGCTTTAGATCCTTAAAACTGTTAAATAACAATTTTATTTTAATATTATGAGAATAAATTCTACAAGAGTTTTATTCATTTAATAATTATAACCATACCAGCCATATCTCTGTGCTTATAGCGGTGTTTCTGTGCCTTACATAACCTTATCCCATCAATAATGGAAGCATGATTCAGCTCATCGGATAGCACAGCATCTTCAGGCGTGAGAAGTGCCTCGAAAAGTCCAGCATTAGCATCAAAGCAACTTGGATAGATTATACAATCTTCTCTCCCATGAAACTGAGCTATTTTCTTTTCTAGTTCTTTATGCAAACTCTGCATTAAAAAGAAAAATAATATTTAAGTAAGTTTAATGCTAATTTACATAATACATATAGCATTTCAAAGCTACTATAAATTTTTTCCCCCATTGTTTCAATTTTTTCATTTTTTTTAACCTAGAGTCATCAAATGCTTTATAATCTTACATATACATGATTCTAGAATACAAATAATTGATCTTAATACTTAATAGTTTTTCATCAAAAAGTATGTAAATAGTGCTTGACCTAATAATTTGAAGAAGATAATAATAATAAAAAAATTAATCATTAATTTTTTAAAAAAAACTGCACTGAAGATACAAGTTACTTTTTATTTTTTCTAAAAGGAAAAACTGTACGTTAATTATAAATGAAACCCACTTGAAAATGTTTAATATATGTTCTAATTTCAAAACTGATTTATGTTAGTTTTCTAAAAGTGGACAGCACACATTCCTTAATGTTTTGTTATGCTATCAGAAGCATAAATTATTGTTGTTGTTTAAGTGAGAGCAAATACAATAACTTATAAATAGTCCCAAAATTCTTTCTTTTTTAATACAAGTTATGCAGCTGTATTAGTAAATGGCGATTTTGACTTTATTGGTCATTTTAAGTGAACTTACTATGGCTAAGGAATACTTTGTCCATATGAATGTTAACATAACTAAAAGAAAACTAAATACCTGAGTTCCACAGATAAAACGAACAGAACTTAAGCCAGCTCCATACTGCTCTAATGCTTGTTTTCCAGCTTCAATAATTTGTGAATTACTCTATAACAGTAATAGAAATGATATCATTGAGAAAGTTGTCATATTTACATCAATAAGAACAAAGAATTCATATTCAATCAAAGGAATATTCTTAACTGATATATTTTCTTTAAATAATCATGGTATCATTTAATATTCTATCATTATTTTTCAAAGCAAGCAGAATAAGAACAGCTTTATATTAATACAGATAGTATAAATTATATCTAACTAATAAAGAGAGATAATATCAAGATAAAAATGTCTTTTTATTCGGATGTACACTATTAATGTGAATATACTTTTAAATATAAATTAATAAATATGTAATTACGCATACATAAAATAATAGTTTCGTTTATCACTTTCGAATTCACAAAAATTTTTTCAATTTTACCAACTTATAAGAGTAGATTATTATAAAAAGAAAATAAATATCTACTTAAAATTTTTAACTTAAAATATTATGAGACTGCACATAACAAAATATGTTGAGCAAGTTTACTGCACTTATACTAGAAGGGCGCAAAATATAACTTTTACACGACGCAGAAAGGATTTTTCTCTGACTGAAAAGCACAGATTTATCCCCAGAATAATTGGATTAAATTGTTAACTATTATTATATCTTTTAGTTAATTATGATAAAATTCAGTAAAATAAAATACAAAATTAAAACTTCAACACTTACTGACAATCCTAAATAGTTGTTTGCACAAAAATTAATTACAGTTTGTGGTGTATCAGCAACTCGAATGCGGGCATCCTGTTTTGAGACAATAATTCTCTCATTTTTGTAGGTCTTTGCTTCACGAATAGCATCTAGCTGAACATTGATAATATCTCTTGCATTAGCCCAAGCACTTGAGCATAGATATTCCACTTTGAATGTATAACCTACATTTAATAGGGTACGGCACACAGCTATGAGAGAATAAAATTATCATTAAAATTACAAGCTTGAAAATACAAGCTATCCCCATGGCAGAATTGCGGCGACATTGTCACAGAATGCTACAGAGTTTTTGCAGAAAGATTTTTAATTTGAAAAGGGAAAAATTTTGGCTTTTCTTTCTACATAATTTTTCGAAAAATGTTTTTTTTTCTTTTGCAGAATTCTTTTTTAAAGATGTCTTTTCTGTTCATCAGAGCGGAAAGAAATAATCAGGATTTTCGTATTCTTATTTGAGATTTTTTTTAAAAATCAGTAATAACTGGCTTTAGTAAGAATTTCAAATTAATGATATAAAATAAAAAATTCTGAAATCACAAAAGTTTAAAAGATAGTTCTGTCTAGAAATGTTATTTCTTTCTTTTTCTTTTCTTTAAAGAACACTGTGTTTTACATTCGCTTATTTGAGAATTCTTTTTTAAAGAGTCCTATTCCAGTGACTCCTGATCTTTATTTTGGGAGTTCTGCACAGATTTTACGATTTTTAATTTATGTACAAATTTCAATTTATTATCCTTTTATTTGCTTATGAATTTTAATTTTTGTAATGATTTAAAAAATTAAGAAAGGAGAAATAATTAGTGCATTTTTCCACCAACAAAATGTCAGAAAGTGTCTTTAATATTAGAATTAAAAAAATATTACTTTTAAAATGCAAAATTTTTATATATTTTAATTTTCTTCTGTAAGCACAAAGTTTCTGTTACTTTAAATTAGTAATTGTTATAAATAAAAATACCTTAAAGCAAAATATTAGTGTTGGTGAAGTTTGTCACAGAAAGCCCAAAAAAATTCTGCCACAGGGCAAGCTATATTATTATGCAATTCTGTTATAAGAAAAATGAGTGAAAATGTATTCATCTAAAACAGGGTAGCTTCTAGCTTTTTTCAAACAGAGTTTCAAAATGAAGATTTCTGATCCTACATCAATTCAAACTTTTTACCACCACTTCTAAGAATGGTCATATGTTTATGAAAATGAACGTCTTCCATAGAATTTATATTAGGGTGAAGCTCTATACAAAAAATTTTGAATGATGGCCATCCATTCCTAGCAGGGTTGGCAGGTTTTTGACATGTGACAGTTTTTGACAGTTTAAACCATGGTTTAAACCGTCACGTCAAAAACCTCACTGTCAAAAATGTCGAAAATGTCAAAAACCTATATTCATATGTGAAATTTAATTAATACATAAAATTTATATATTTTTTATAAAGGATAGTGTTTCTAAATATGTTCTAGAAAAAATAAATTTAAAATTTTGAAGAAACACTTATATTTTGAATAGTAACCAAAATCTTGTACTTTTGAAAGCTCACATCTTTTGTAATATTATGTATTCATTTTCATGTGTTATTGAAAATCTGCAGTGATATTATTAAGAAATTTATTTATAACCAAATTTAGTGTATAGTATAGATTATACTAAAAATTAGACATTTTTAAAGATAAACATTAGCAGTTTTGTACATTAGACATCTTTTAAAGAAAAATCTTTTTAATATTCTTTTAAATCTTCTTAATAATCTTTTTAACATAAGACAATACAAATTTAAGTGCTTTCTGTTAAATACACAGAGTAGTTAGTGTCGATTTACAGTATATTCAGCCTATTCATTTACTATGCTGAAAATTTAGTTTATCCAAATACTTGTGAATTTCATTTTGCTGAATACTATATACATAGTTTTGTTGAATATCTAAATATTCAGCTGTTGAATAATTACTTCTTGCTTTCAAGATATGCATTATTTGTATTCTTAATACAAGTGGGGGAAAAAAATTAAGAGGTAAAAATTGTTTTAAAATGATAAGTGTAATAATTATAAATAAATATAATAAACAATATGAATTATATTTATCATTATTCACAAATATAACTACTTTTAAATTCAAATTAACAATCTGGATAATAAAGATATTCGGTATAACATTAAAAAAATTTTTCATACACTTGTAAGTTTGTATTTATACAACATAACTTGTATGTTCCTTATAAATATTAGTTATATGTTCCTTATATGTCAAAAATGCATAGTAATAAACTTTTAATTTTCTTAAGTATCAAAAAAAAATGTTTTTTTTTTAAAATATAAATATTTAAAAAAATTTTGTGCAAAATTTTTCTGCACATGCATTTGAATATAAATTTCTGAGATTTTAAATCTGATTCCCGATCACTTCTGGGGTAATTAAATATTTTAAAACCTGCTGATTACCTATAGTATAATTAAATTTCAATATAATGCATGGCAACTGTTGGTAGTTTTGAAGTTTATATATTTTTTTGGCAAACTTTAGTTTTTGACATTTTTGACGGGTTTTTGACGGTTTAAACCAGTATTATACCCTTGTCATGTCAAAAACCACTTTTTGACGTCAAAAACCCAACCCTGATTCCTAGTATGAATTTTATCTCAAGGTGAACTTTTTTAATCAACATTTTCATATGAAATGTGTGATAGCTTCAATTGGGAATTAAAAATTGTTTGTGCTCATCCATAATATATTAGTCATTGCAAAAGAATAATTTTTGAGCCTTAAAAGTCCATCATAGATACAGTGTGATAGCTTAATTCAGCCTAATGCAGATAACATATTTTTGCTCGTGATTTACCATAAAATAAAATTGATGACAATATCAGAAATCTGAATAAAAGATTTCATTTCAAAAGGAAAAAATTACTTAACTAATTTTGCTAAATATTAATCATTAAATAATAAATAGATGGTAGAGGGGTAAAGAATTGCTAGCAAGTTTACTAAATATTTACAGTTTTTTTCTTCTTTTTTTTGAAAACTAAACAATTTTGTTTGATACTATCTGAAATGTTTTTCTTTTTATTTAATTAATGACAAATTTTATTCACAACAACAATTCTTTAACAATCATTTTATTTTTTCGCAGTCAGCTCTTAACACAATCACATGGGCACAATCTTGCAAGGGCCTATTGTTTGGAGTTAAACTAAAATAATTAATTAAATGCAACAAAAATTTGAATTTTTGAAATGAAAAAATATCAAAAAACAATTGATTAAGTTTCTAGGTTAGAATATTATGGTCCAATTTATATTTTCCAAGCAGCTTCAGCAAACCTCTTTAGGCTGTAAACATAAGTTTTGAAGTGATTTAAAGTATGCTGTATGCTTCAGTTGAAAGCTGAAGGGAGTTCTTAGCTGCTTTCGCCAAAGTGGGTCCAGCCAAAAAAAAAACCACTTGGAAAAACAAACATTTTTTCAAAATTTATCGTACTAGGTTAATGGATTTTACTTCAAAACAAAATAATTGTACATGTTTGTCATTTAAACAAAAATTTCCATAGAACTTAAGATAAATTAACTTGATAATTTAGCTTTAATTATATAATTTAGCAAAATTAACTTGATACATAAATCAAAATGCATTCAACTAGTTTTGAATGTGCCTTTAATTATGATGGATGAGTACAGCATCTCTTTCTTATGAAGAACACATTGTTGAATGAGGTTCATAAAAACTTAAGAATACTTTTTAATTTATATTAAATTTGTATTATGGTTTTAATAATCAAAATTTCATTACAACTTATTAACTTTTGATATGAAAATTTTTTCCCATGTCTAGCAGTTTGTAATGATTTAAACAATTAATATAAATTACTTTATTTATGAAAAACAGTCAGTTTTTAGGAAATAAAGTTATTTATGTAACTTGAAAAAATTATTGATCTTTTTAAAGCAAACTGTAGGGTGACCCGGGGTAATTCACGATCACTCTGTTTCTGGGGTAAATAATGATCACTTAAGTTTTATTTAAAAAAATAATATTTTTTTTAAATTTGAGACATGGACAAGAATGCTTGTACACTTTACTAAAGTATAACTACATTTACTTAATAACAGTTTTTTGTTTAATCTAACAAAATAAGTATCTTTTAAACTGCTTTCTGTATTTTCCATTTCTAAGATGGGTTTCAAAATGTGCACATTTCTGCAAAGATCCCCCTCCTTCTCTTAATAATAAATATTTTGAGTTACTTTCTTTTTCTTTGATATAAAAATAGTGTAAGCTTTTG